TTTTCGTGATTGGCGGGGTTTTTCTCGCCCTTTGGCCGAAGTTACCGCTATTCCGGCGACACTAAAACGTACTAGCGCACTTTCTCACGCTTCCCTGAGGTCGTTCATGGAGGAGAATAATGATGATGAAGGTCTGGCGCGCTATTTCTGGTTAGTTCTCCGGGGAATATGCTTGTGTCAATATTTCCCCTAGAATTAGAAAACCTCCTTGCAGAGATTCTTATTTGTCTCATCACGCAATCGCCGCGGGTGACGAGCCTCAAAAGACCTTACAGATGTGTGGATGTGTACGTAGGAGGCTACGGTTATGTTTCTTCAGCGAACAATTTAGAACTTCTGTTACTGTAACGAAACTCACTACTGGTCTCCTAACCTCTTACGCGGCTCTTACACGGACATTCTTACGCCCGTCTTACAACATCGTTCCTCCGCTTCCCGATCCTAAGAACAGCATGCAACTACACTAAACAAATTGTGTCTAAAAGATCGAGAAGTAAGAAAGGAAACTAACTGAATGAAAATGAAAGTCCAAAACTTACCATCATCGTCCTCCTCCATAACCGTGGAAGCGTGAGAACGTGCGCCCGCACTCTGTCGAGTCTCCGGAAATGCGGTAACTTTGGCCAAAGGGCAGGAAAAGCCCCGTCAAACAGGAATGATAATATTCACATTAAAAAAAAAAAGAATAAAATATTAAAAGATAATAATAAAAAAAATTACAAAAGAAAAATGACATTAAAAAAACTCCGTTACGCGGTATCACGTTACGCCGTTACGCGTTTTACTAATAACCAGAGACCCCTTTGATTGAAGCGTTCCTCGATCTGTGGATGACAGTCACAAATTGCTTTCATGTAATGAAACCTTTCAACCGATTAAGTTTAATACTTCAAATCTATATGATTAACTGATATAAAAACAAGTACACACACATTCCCTCTAGCACGACTTACGCCTTTAAAACAAATGTTATTCCTCAATTGTAGAAAACTAAGGACGACAACCTAAGATCTCTTAAAAACAGCCGTCTTGAGGGGACAAGTCAACAGACAGAGCCAAATGAGGATGAGAAGGATTTTGATCAACGTGAAAGTGAAGCGAAACAGTTTAATGAGGTAGATATTGATGACTGACACCATCCAAGTGTCCAGCTATCGTTATACCGGGTTCAAATGATAGTATGTTTAGGAAAGAATTACGATTGGCTATTTGATCTCACTTATTCTAGGTAAATTTACCTACAGAAGCCAACAATGCACAGGACCAAACGTCTCTCAATTACCGTCAGACACTTTTCTGTGGTTTAGTAAATTTTGTACTCAGCCAAGTCTATTTTTATCAACATTAATTGCTGAGTCTGATTCACGCGGAAAGGGTAACACTGTTAATCCACGAAGGTATGAGAAATGATTTTTGATAAGCGCCTACTAGCGATGAAGTATGATTCTCTAGTAAAAATGTGAAGCTTCGCCAGTAGAATTTCTATTCTACATCGCTTTTATCGAGTTGGCACTTTATTTTACTTTTTAAGAGAGGTTTCGGTTTGATAAAATTTAAATTTGGATGCACTTCCAACGAAAAGAGTCTATCTTCTAACTTGTGTAATGAATGATTTGCTGTATAAAGGATAGTCCTACAGGCGATGTGTCTTTATTTTATACATCGTAGAATACAGACATTGAATTTTGTTGGCTTTTGTTTTTATTGCAAAGCGTCTAGGGCATTAACCCTTTAGACCACCCTCACCTTTCGGGGCCTTAGCTAGCATGAGGCTAGACGAGACAATTGCCTCGTCGTGATTTTGGCCTTTTTTTTTGGGCACCAGTATCGCTCAGCAATAAAAAAGTGAACTTCCACACTTGCCCAAGTTTGACTTTTCTGAAGAAAAATGCCAAGGAAAATGCTTAAAAGAGCATTTCTGAGCCTCTAGATTTAAAAAATTTCAGGGGGGCGCGCCAGACTGGAAACTTGCCTCGTCTTCTTCTGAACTCTGGCTACGGCCCTGCCTTTACAACGCTGCTGATTTATTCCTCTACAAGCGTTATTGAGGTGAAATGTTATTATTTTCTTTTCATTTAGCGTTTTTGTGATTGTCTACAGGTTTGAAATTGAGAATCAGTTTTGGGTACAAAGAAATTGGTATTTTGATTTGTTAGGATATTTCTTTCTACAATCATACAGATTAATGAAGTAATATTTATATATTGCTACATTTTTTATTTTATTTGTAAAAAACTAATTCGTAGTAATGTTTTTACCGTCATAGATAAAAGAGGTACCTAGTTCCCTTGATGACAGCCGGACAATTGGATCATTTATCCAGCGAGGTTTCAACTACTTACAAACAGCATTTGGCTTAAGAAAAGGAACGGATGAAAAAGAGGAAGTCAAGACTAAGAGCCCACCTTGTAGTGTGGTTGTCTCTTCCAAAAACGAAGTGGTTACTGATACAAGTTCTTCTAAGATACTAACCCGGCTCGAAAGTGACAGTCTTGAAGGAAGATACTGTAAGAAGCTTGAAAGAAGATTAGCTTACCTTGAAAACTTGATACCTCAGTGCCACTCACGTCACGAGGAAGATGCAATCTTCAAGCAAAAGTTGCAGAAGAAGATAGACCAACTTGAATCGCAACTAGAGGAAGATAAAATATTCAAGCAAAAATTGCAGAAGAAGATGAACCAGCTTGAATCACAACTACAAGAAAGCGATGATTACAGAGAGAATGATCAGAAGACCCTTAAGCAAGCTGCAGAAATGGCCCAACCTCGGAAGAAGACGGAAAAGGAATCAGTGACTCAGTGCCATTCACAGTGGAAAGGCATGGGTGAAATGGAGGCGGTGGACCAAGACCATTTGCAGGGCCATGCGCGGTTGAAAGAAGTAGATCGCGGTGGCGAGAAAACGGAGAAGAAGGAGGCCAAGGACCGGGATTCACATTTGAAAGACTCGTGTTGTAGCAAAGAGAAGATGGAGGTGAGGATTGCCGAGCTCCAATCGCAGCTGATAAAAGAAATGCATCTTCAAAAAGAGAACACGGAGAAAGAGATACAGAACGCAAAGGAAAAAACTGATGAACGTTTAAAGAGGAAGGTGGCCGAGTACATCTTGGATGAGCTGAATTATCGTGAAGAGAAGAAGGAGAAGACAATGGCCCAACTCCATTCACAGGTGAAAGAAATACAGGGTGTAAAGCAAATGTCTAAAGAAATTGGTAAACGTATTGAGGGAATCGAGAAGAACGTGGCCGAGCACGCTTTACAATTGGATGAGATGAGTTCTCGTGGGAAGAAGGTAGAGGAAAGGAATGCTGAGTTGCATTCACAGCTGGTAAAAGAAACGAATCATCAACTAGAGAAGATGGATGGAGAAATACGGGATTTAAGAGAACTGATGAAAGGAATTTTTCAACGTACCGAGAAAGTGGAAAAGAAAGCATTCGATTTGCAAGAAATGGGTACTCGCGTAGAAACGACAATTGGTCAGTTCCATTCACAGACGGAAGAATTGCGAAGATTTCTGGAGGAAATGGTGAAGAAGGAAATGCGAGAAGTAGCTGATGAAGTCAAGAACCAAAGTGCATTCCTCTCCACTCATGAAGAAAACATGGCCCTTCTTCGCCGTGGTCTTGGTAACCTTAATGCAATGTTTCAACATCATGTTAACCAATTGAATCGGCGAGTTGATACCTTATTCATAAGTAATGGTCCAGTTGTGCCCAATAGGCTTGGATAAGTCCTTGTGAATGGCTAATTATTAGTGTACCTGCTTGGGAATACGCTTGAGCATCACACTATTCTGCCCAAAAACTCTCGAATTTTGCTCTGTAGTTGAAGATTTACCTCAGTGATAATTTTAAAAATTTGTTCACAGAACATATTTCAGAAAGTATCAGTCACATTTGCTTTGCATTAGGCTTTCAACTGTTCCAATAACTGTCTTGTATAACATTTCAGAGAGTCCCGTGTTCGGTGATGAACATTTTGAATTGCACCTTCTGGTGAGAAAGCTCTGTCTTAAATCATAGTCACAACCAGGCTAAGCCTGTGTGAAAAACTGTTTGTTTTCTTTTAGCAATTATTAGAATAAGAAAAGCTAAATTACCGAAAGAATTTGCAACAACAGAGAACCTTACAGTAAAGTATTCAAAGTAATCCGCGATTTCGTTAGTTTTGATTTCCTTCGCGCTATGATTGGTCAAGGGAACACGCAGCACACGACTCAAAACAAACGTACAGTGTAACAAAAATACCGCATTATTTAGACTCGCTTGATGCTAGTTAGCTTGCATGAAATGATGTTTGAAATTTTTTTAGACCGAGGTAGATTCTATAACGGAAGAAAAGTTTTGGTAGAGATGATATCATTTATTCTCTTTTAGCTTTTGTAGAGTGCAACCAGGCTAACCTTAAAGGAAATGGTGTTTTGTACAATGATTATCATTACTTGTAGCAAATAGTTGACTTAAATGCAAATGCACACCAGTGTTAGAATATTTTTCATTGTCCACTAGCAAATTTCAAGTTTATATCAGTGATACTCTTTTTTCATATGAAAACTCGATAAAGGTGTCGCGGTGTGATGTCTTTGATATCGAGGGGGAGATGGGGCGTTGTGAATACCGCAACATCGCCACTAAAATAAAAGAAATACTGCATCACCGCAAGAAATATTATCAACTCGCCGACATCGCGGTATAATCTAAGTCTCAGGATTTACCTGGTCTGCTTTCACTCATCTTTACCACGCACTGGTCTTTGGCTGGCGGACGGTGTGTATAATAAAGGTCCATAGGTCAAGTAAAATATAAACGAACACATCCTGAAGCCAATCAGTTAATCTTTAATTACTTTAATCTGTTAATCTTTAAAAAAACATCTTAATATTTATATAAGATTAACCCGGATGTAGTGCTAATTTTGTTGGATATGTGCCGTCCTAAGATAACCATGGAGAACTATTATCATAAATTGCTTTGTGAAATAAAGTTAAGCGTAAGATTGTCCTTTGTTCCGTTTAAAGGTTTCCAGTTCAGCTGATGCGGGAGGCTAGAAACTGTTTCTTGTGTCATAGTGCTATGAATAATCGTATCCACATCAGCGAACAAACGTATTCTCGAAGTACTCAAAAAGTCTTTGATGCATTACAGGAAAAAGAGGGGGCCGAGGACTGTCCCCTGGGGGACCCCAGACAGAACCGGCACTTCCGGAGAACTATTCCCATTCACATCAACTTACTGACTTCGTTGCGTTAGCCAGTGGCTTGACCAGATATATTAAGAGCACCCCAAAATCCATAATTGCCCAGTCTTATCGTTGATTAGGAACCGTATCAAAGGTCCTTGAGAAATACCAAGATAATAAAATCGGCTTACTTTGTTGTGTCAAGTGAACGAGCGATTTCCTCTTCTGTGGTCACAAGTTGGGTTTTATATGATATTTTTTTTACGAAAACCGTGTTTTATCAAAGACAAGAGAATGTAAACCGCTCTTGTCAAAGATGAATACAAATAAATTACAATATCAGGATGAAATTCCAAACACAAATCTTCGATCTCAAATTCAGAGGTTATAGATGATGGAATTGAAGCTTAAAAAATATGTGGGGCTTTGTCCCGCTAATCGATAGAGCACAAAACTATATACCTTTAGATGGGGCTGTCAGAACAATATAAGGATTTGGATCTTTGGCCTAGCTTCTTGTGAGTTAAATAAGATGTTCCGTCCTAACTGATCTTGACGAACGAAACAACCAGCTTTATTTTCTTGGACGTTGCTTTGCTTTCACGTGTTCTCTCTCGAGACTAAAAGGCCGTTTACACGGCAGAAAAATTGGGTACGGACTTGTCAAAAAAGGAGTACGGACCTGACATTTTTTCCCGTGTAAACAATCCGTACCATGTTTTGGGGGATGGGTACGGACCCGTGTTTTTTCTTGTTTTGGGGCCATAGACGTCTATGGCCCCAAAACCAGAAAAAACACGGGTCCGACCAATTTCTTGCATCACGCGTCGTCATTCTGTTTACAAGAATCACCGTATTTACTCGAATAAGCGCCGCGCCCCCGATGCAGCGCTTATTCGAGGAACTCCGTATAACAAGGAAAAACACTATTTTAACACAGCATCGGCAATTTATATTCTAAATGTGATGTTCTTTAGTTCAAAGTGACTGTACTTCTCTGCTCGGGTTATGAAACGCTCGGGGTTTTTTCACCGCATGAATTTCTCTCGTAATTCTAGATTTACTATCAGTTTAGCATCAGTCCATTGGAAAATTGACAGATAGAAAGTGTACCGTTGAATAAAAATATAGAAAAAGTATATTTGTCTGGTACAATTTTTAAAAAAGCGCCGCGGCGCTTATTCGAGTAAATGCGGTACACATGTTCGATAACAGCACACAGCTGTACCAAATACTGTAGTCCCATGCAAGAAATTGGTCCAGTCCCCCAAAAACTGCAGTGTAAACGCAACCTCGCTAACTTGGTCCTTATGCCTCTTTTTGTCCGACCCGTGGTAAAACATCATCCGTGCAAACGGCTAGAATTATGCGGTCCGTGCTACTTTTTTGACACGTCCGTATCCGATTTTTCTGCCGTGTAAACGACCTTTAAGTGACTTTCTTGAAAAATCTAGGATCATATCTAGTTCGCACTTGAGATATGCAAAACATGTGTGACCACAAATGTCGTATGGGTCTCATATCAATCGAATAGAAATAGATAACGAGATTTCGTGACATTACGTTTCCTTATAATCTTTAATGTCGTTTTCGGGAAATTAAGGACGGATCGCAAAGCAAAATGCCTCTCCGAAATGTTTTAATCGCCCCCTTTTTTCGTTGTTTGCTTGCCATGCAAAACCTGATTGTGGCCAGTCAACAACTATTTCTAATTTTGTTAGGTAGGATTCTGCTTTTACGGATCATGGAGACTTTAACTCAACTGCTTAAACAGACGTCGACGCCACCGTTGTTTTTATCGACAATGGACATTCCTTGCCTTGTAGAATAGTGGTTTGAAATCCACGTGCGCCAGTGTTACTGGTGCAGTCCCTGTCTGACAATTCTCCTCGTGGATCCATCTCTAATACACGTGCTTGACTTGCGAATTGTTCAAGTGCGCCGAACTTTTGCGCCGAAATCGTTGTGTACCAGGGTAAGTTGAAACAGACGCGTCTATAAAATGATATCTCAGTGCCGAATCAAATGAAAAATTTTAGTTTAACGTGATCGTTCCCGGAAGTCTGTAACCGCGTGACATTTCACGCACCAAGGCAAGTGCAAATATCTATTGAGTAATGGGCGAGATTTATTAGGGTAAGAATATAGAATATAGGCTTAGGTATGGCCCAAAAATCCATCTGTAAATTCCCAGCTTTTTCTCCGAAATTCTCGAATTTTTTCCTAAAAATCCCGATTCAGCTCAATTCTTTTGAGAGTTACACGATTTGAATCAAGAGATTATAATCTCGTTTGCTTAAAAAAAACCTGAAATTGATTCAAGACGACAATTTATTTACCAGAGAACGTCAAATTCGTCTCCTACAAATTTCTCTTTCAAACAAACAGTTGGCACTGAGGCCTTCCAGTAATGCTAAAAAGGACTTCAATCGCTGAGTGGTAGTATTTGTATGCTTGAATAAAATAAAAAGTTTGACTCGCTTGTTCGTCACATATTTCCATTCATGATCAGCCGCGTGCATGAATTTGCTCCCTTTACATATATGAGGTAATTTTTAAATTTAAAATTTCGGTCACTCTCTTTCTTTGATTGGCTATTTCAGAATAATAAGTGAAAATTTTCACGAATCAAAAATAGGTTACATCTTTCACGTTCGAAAGTTTGATGTTTGTGGTCCATTTCAACGGTTGGACTTTGTTTTGTCGAAATGGTGGGGTATAAGTTAGGAGAAAAAATCGTGCAAAAATAGCCAAGGATCCTCACCTTCGCCTTCTTATTTGCCCCCAGTGTGGGTATTTGTCAAAGGAGCCGACAATTGCAACGTGTGAACACCGCTTTTGTCGCTCCTGCGTTGAAATCATCTGTTTCGCCCGGTAAGTTGAAACGACTCTATGAGTGTTTTCCTTAAAAGTGATTCCCCGGTGGATAAAAGATTACAAGTTGAAGTTTGGGACTTATGATGGGGATGATGAGAACCTACTTTGTTCCACTTTTTTGAAGGAGAATTTTCGAAGTGTCAATCGGGACTGATTGTGGCTTAGGATCGTGTTCTCTTACGAAGGACTTTTGTTTAAGTTTCTTTCCAAGGGATTTTAGCCTAAAACAAGGATTGATGTATCTATGTTCTGAAGATTTTTCGAAAGGAAAATGGACAGAATCCCATAAGTCGATTAAATTCTTTTCCCGCGAAATTCTGAACGTTTTCGCGCGAGAGAAATTCCCTTTCCGTCATTTTGAACTCCGATGTAATTGAATCTTCAATATTCAATATTCAAACGGCCTATCAATATTACAACCGTCAGTCGTCACATGCCTCAAAACTTTGAATTTTAAAAATTTTCATAACTGATAAATTTAACCATGAACAGTGGTAAAGGGGAAGGATCGATTTTGGAGCACTCCATCGCCGAGCCGATATTTGCTCCATTTATTATTTATAACAGATTTTCTCGTACTATTTAGTTCCTCTGAAGCTGCTAAATGCCCAACTGATGGCCATCCTATAAATTTTGAGGAGGTAAGGTTTAGCTTATTCATGTCATAGAACTAAGTATTTAAGAATACTGCCATTACGGGGGTGGATTCTTGTCAGCAGCTCGGGCGTAAAAGTCGTGCAGCATGTCAAGCCGATCGATGAGACTTGTACACTCTCTTTTTTCTTTCGGCAGCTCTAATTTTCAAAGGTTTTCAATTTTATTTGGAGAAGTTTTTCGACTCCTTATTTTAATTGAGCCTATTTTATCAGTCTCGTGTAAATTCTAAATTGTAAAAGTACAAATAACATGCTAGTTTGTAAGACAAACAATTTCGGAATAATGAAGTTAGCATAGATTTGTACGTTGTACTTTGTGGTAGGTAATATTTGTAATCACCAAAAATTCAATGGCAGTTGAATTAGTAGTTTTGGTATAATACATTTGAACAACCTACTGAAGCAGCAGCAATCATTGTACCTCACAGAAAAGCTGTTGATTAATATATTAAAGTTTTGTATATGTTGCCATACTTTGACAGTTTTGGTCTTATTGTCGTTATATGAGTTCTAACCCCACTCGTCAACAAACAAACTGGCCCCTTTAACAGCATATTGATGGAGGGGGAGGGGAGGAAGAAAGTATCAGAGCAAGGAGAGGAATGATACCAGCCCAGCAATCAAGCATTCAGTGGTACATGTATGTTTCATGTGTCCTTTCCCATTTTGTCTTGTCCTGTCCTGAAAACTATGACTTTGAGGGTATCGAGGCGTCCTATTATGAAGCGCGACTGGATTTCTCGCACCTTGGACACCACCATCTTGGGTCTCGAATTCCCACCGGCAAAGGACTGTTTCCCTCCACTTCAATGGTCTTTCTTGGTCTCACCTACGAAATGGTTGCTGTGACACTGGAAGTTCCCAAGGACATTAGTTGCACCAAACTGTACATTCTCCGCCTTCAACTCAGCTCGGCGCGAACTTCCAAGTTTCTTATTGGCAAATTTTCTTATGTATGCACTGGCATTAACCTTTGGAAAATGTTCATGCAGCACATGCTTCGCGACTCAGTCCCCATATATTTTTCCATTCGGCCCGTTTTGCGCCAAGCCCTAACCTTCTTGCGTACTTACGCTGGTTGGATAATTTTCTCTTGGCTTAGAACGGCATTTCCCTTCCTCGCTCTTCTCCTTAGCTCAACTCCGGCCCTTGTTTCTGCACCGACACCTGTCTCTTCAGGATCGGTGGCTTCTTTGACAGCCGTTTTTTCCGCTCGGCTCATCCACCTATCATCGATCCTGCTGCCTTGACCATCGCCTCGCTCGAAATGTTAGCCGTCACGGTCA